ATATATATATATATATTGTGAGAGTAAAAACGGATTTGTGGTGCTGTGAAGCCAAAGTGCACAGTGGCTTTAGGGTGTGTGGGGGTAAAATGTGGTTAGCATAGGCTCTGATCATGTGTGCGAAAGACTGTGTGCCAGTGTGGTGAGAGGAGCGGGGCAGAAACTTAAACATGGGCAGTGCTTTGTGTTGTGCGACTTAGGTGAGAGGTGCTAAGGGTTATCGATACTGGGTGGGGTGGGTACAATTTTCATGTACACAAAATAAAACCCTTGAAATAGGAACAAGCCGAAGCTGTGGTTATATTTGTGATTACGTAACAAGCTGGTAGAAACATACAAATAAAAACATGCTTGTACCTTTTGGTATATTTAATATTAAACGTGCCAAAATAATCCAACATCGTGCACGTGAAGAGTCGGTGGGGAAACTGATATGCAAATGCGTGTGTGGTGCACTTTCTCTGCGTGTTTAAAGTCTTACACATACAGACACGTGTGAACATTTTCACGGGGAAATTGTGCACGTCTAAATCCTAACTTTTTCCCTCTTTTTAGCTATTGGACTGCGAGGACGTGGCCGTGACGTGACTGTGGACTCTCAAAACATCTGATAGACCGTGTGCCTGTGTATGTGTGTGTGTGTGTCATTAGTAAAAATAAATAAAATTATATATATTTTTGAAATCCATTTAAAGACAATGTGATGCTACTATCTTTCTTACATAAATTGTGCCAGGGAAATTTCATTTCCCTGGCACAATTAAACATTAAGTCTATTGTTTTAATGTTAAGAAATTGCCTGCATATATTTGTTTGAATAAACAGCCTTATGTCAGAGCCTGTGTGTTGATTATTATGTATTATTATTTAATTCAGCTATGTGATATTGGCTGTGTTGAGGTTGCAGGATGTAAATCGGTATTAAAAAATATTTTAAACATGTGTTTTTTAAAGATTACTTTGTAAAAGATTTATTTGATGAGATGAGAATTTAACACGACATTTGTAAATGTATTTTATGTCTGCTGTATGTAAGGGTGATTGAGAGACAGCTAGTCACTATACTCTTAATTTTACCCTGTTTGAAGCTGTTACACAACTTGCTGCTCCTTCTCGTCAGTGTCACGTTGACTTCGATCTCTTCTCTTCTGTCAAAGAATACGAGCAGCTGCATTATGTCTACAAGCAAACAATCTTATTCGTATACTTTTGTCCCTCTGCTGAGTACATGACAGCCCTCGTTTTGTCTCGCAGACCTTTTATTTGTCACAATTTTACGTTTAATTTGCGTGTGTGAGAGAGAGAGAGGAAGCATGGCGGCAGATGGGTGTGCTGGAGACTCCAAAAGCTGCTGCAAATAGCCTTTCGGGGTCGGAGTTGGGGAAACAGAGCACATACTGCCGAGCTTAAAATCATGGCAGTCTGTTCTTGTGAAACATCTGGACTCTGTAAGCATGACTGGCTCATTTGTGTGTATGAAAATGTAGACAAAACAATAAAATAAAGCGACGGAACATTCACACGACTGTCTCAATGTTTATGTAACGCGCGCACACACATCTCATCCTTGCTCAATGTTTTGGATGATGGGGAACTTACTACGATCGGGCAATCTCGCGAGAGTGTGGCTAACAAGAGTGTGGTTGGGCATTGTAGTCTTCCCTTTTGGGGAGCACATTTTTGCATGTTACGACAGAAATGTCTGTGACGGAGTTATCTGGAACAAAGAATTTAATCGGGGCACCAAAAAACCCTTCGCCGCACTTATCTCTGCATATTTAGTAGTTATCAGCAGTGTGATGCAAACAGAATACCTAAAATAGATGACTAACTCGGATCTAGCTAGGAACAGGCTGACCTCACTGATTGGCAATCACTTCAGCCAATAAAGCATGTCCAAATGCTCTCCATTGGGCGGGAGGACGCGCACATTTTTCACCAATGAGAGCATCCTTTCATTCATAAAGTGGTGTGGGCAGTTTTTTTTCGCAGGCGTGGGTTTGGAGGGTTTCATAATCCTGACTGAAACCGTCAAACCTGTTCTGGTGAGAGCCAATACCTGACTCAGGATGGGAGCTGCCGTAATGTTTGTCCAATCACTCCTCATCCCGGTCTCCCTTTGACCCACCCCATTTCATACAGAAAATCGAATGAATGGGGGAAGCTCTGCTTTTGACTGACGCGCAAAGGAGCCTATAGAGGGGCTGGATCAGTCGACGGGCACCTACTGCAGGCAGTGAGGAACAGGGAAGGGCGGTGCAGAGTAGGAGGTGGGCGGTGCACTTTAAATCAGGCTAGACAAGTGTTGGGGGAGTGTGTGTGATGCTACAACCTCCTTATAAAGGGACTCTCTCACGTTGTGGCTTGGAAATTAGAGCACATTGCCTAAAATTGAGGTCTCCACATACACACTCACACACACACGCAGAGTCACCGAGAGCCGCTGCCGTGAACTGGATGAACGTTGAGGAAATGATCAGCTGGGCCGAAACGCCTCTCTTCTGGGTCGGTGCATTCACTGTGGCCTCCCTGACGCTGTGGTTGCTCTACAGGCTGCTCACAGGCTTTAGGATCTGGGTTTTGGGAAATGGACAGCTGCTGTCTCCGAAGCTAGGCAAATGGGCAGGTGAGTAGGGTCACATCAATTTCCAAGCCACCTACAGCACATTCACGGTCACGAAGAGGGCAGCTCAGAAGTAGGCAGGTGGACTCGGCTCGAGCACCAGAATGAGGTTATTGAGCGCAAACTTGACTTTGGCACACAAAAAACTGCGTTCTGCGTTTTTTCTTTTTTTGTGGATTCATTCAAGGGGAAGTTGGTGTTGCGTAACAGGCGCAGGTAAGCAGCTGATTGACTGAGAAGATAATGGTCCTTATTACCTCCAACTGTTTTCATTTCTTCTCACGTCAAACACAGCACACAGTCTCCTGCCAAGGGCTCCAGTCAGCGTTTTCAAAGCACATTTGGAACGGTGCGGGGATGCCCCACATTGGTGAGCCAGGAGCCAAATTGCGCAGGCTATGCGCACTTTTCACAGAGCTGTTTTATGTGGGTGAGCTCTTAGCCGGAGCACTACTGAACCACATTAACCCATCCGCATGATGTAGGACAAACCCATATGCTTAATTAAAACGTGACCTACATCTAGATCATCTTGCATGTCATTTTCAGTGGTTTACCCGTAATTCTTGAAACGTGCCTGAAAAATGTGTTCCCCTTCCACAGCATATTTATACTGGCGGCATTTTTTGTATTTCTCATGTCGCCGGTTTCTCACTAATCAGGTCTTCTTGTCCTGTCCTTCGGTTTGCCTTGCAAATCTTTCTCATAAGATTAATGTGTCATTATTGGATTTGACTGTATAATTTACACTTAAAAAAACGTTTTTGTCAAAACGGAAGTGACTTCGGAGTCATACCTAAGTGCGTTATGGTTTGATAGAGACTTGTCTCATAGGAATCGCCCTGCCATGGCTTGACCCACTTCTCTAGTCCCTGTTTGGAGAAGGCTGCTGCGTCTGGAGCGTCTTGCTGCGCAGTTTGGCAGGCGCTCTCTTTCGCGTCGGGATAGGTGGATATTCTACCCCCTTCCTCTCCAAAAGCCAGGCGGATATTATAAATGCTTGTTTTCCTTTTTCTTTCAGTCACACAATGTTTATCTGTACATTGTGGCGCACTTCTTGACGAAACCGTCAGTATGTTTAATTGAGGCCCTTTGCGCCATTAGAGGGGCTGAAATGTATGACGCAAAGGTAGGGCGGTAGGATGCCTTTAAGAACGACTAATGCACGTTTTTAAGTGATTCTGATGGAATATGCGGAGGAATGTCGGTGCACACCGATGAGTCATGCGCTTGTTCATCGCTTCGTCATCCTTTGGCCATATAGGAATGCCACCTTCACGTCATCCCACCCACCCACAGTATGTTATCAAGTGCAGCACTAAACTTCGCATTAATCTTTTTCCTGCATTTTTATTTACCTCGAATGTTTCATTATACAGTTTTATTCTAGCACAGCCCATTTTGTGTGCGTTTCAAATAAATGTGATCTTCGTTATTCGTAAAGCTCCTGAGTTAGGGGCGTAAAGGATGCTCTAAACTAGAAGATTACATGGATTTTTTTTAATTTAATTTTATTTATTTTTATTTTTTTCTGGAAAGGATTCTTACGGAACTTTCCCACTCCGTCACATTTGTTCTTCTCTTACGCTTTACGTAAGATGTGAACATGCCACTCCCTGAAACCAATTGGTGCCACCAGTCTGACAAGTCTGGCGTACGTTTCCAATCACAACGGTCGGAGATGGCAGGACGAAAACAGGTGTGCGCGTTAGGAGAGGTGGGGGCATGTGTGATCGGGATGAGGCGTGCGCCTCCGCCGGTTACACCAGATGTGCGGGTTTGGCCAGTTTAGGCAGTGGTCTGGTTTCTTTAACGCATGCACGATACATCGTTTTACTACCGGTCCCCACCTTTCAGAGATCCTTGTTGCAACAAGTCCTCCTTCTTCCAGCTATTGGATAGTGTGGGAAATCACTATTTATTTATACCCTTTGCAGTTGGGCAGCATGAATTTAATCTGTAGTGCTGTTCAGTTTTAGTTTCCTACAAGAACAATATGTCCTCTGAATTTATAACTTTTATCATTTTAGAGAATTTAGAGTTTCTATTTACTAATGACAGTGAATATTCCGTCTGTCATATACAGTTTCTTTGTCTAAGAACACATTTGAAACTGAACTGAAGTATTTGATCAGAAATGCAATTTAAACGTATAGCTTCTTAAACGTATGTGAAGTTGTATTTGGTGGGGGAGGGGGTCATTGTACTTTATTTTAGATGCATATTTCTAGAACGGGCTTGCTTTCTATAAAAATCTCAAAGGAGGCGACTAGTATTTCCTGCTGAAACGAGTTTCAACGTTTGAAGGTAGGTTTAGGTGAAGAACTTGCTTCGCTTTCTATTCAGATATTAGTTTGTAAGGTTTTGTTTCCTCGTAATCACTGTACACGCTGTCTGTGTTGGGCTAAAACTCTGCTGCTCTCATATGCAGAGCAGAGCAGGGATTTCTCAGGAGTTCCTCTGCTAGTGGTCTTCCCCTTAGTGGATGGGACTCCTAGTGGCTGAACAGCAGCGCTGCAGTATGAGTCAAGGCGGCTTCCCCAGCCTCTCTATTGCACTGTTTTCACATACTCACCCTCCCCATCCCCTGCCAGTCTGAACCATCTCTACAGCTCAGTTCTGTTAAAGATATTCAGCAAAAGAATGGCAGCTCTCTAAAAGACATTTGAAATTTACATTTAATTGCCTTTTTATTTAGCAGCTTTTTAAGATTATTTGTGGATTCATGGGGGGCATATTGCACAAATCTGCCTTTCAGGCATTTGATAACAGTTTAAAGGATTTAATATTTGGTGGTATAATGTTATCAAATTGTTTAGCATTTAGCATTGCTTTCAGTTCCAGTAGGGAAGCTTTCCAGTCTAACATGCAGCAGCCCTCGGTTTTCTGGTTTTTCTGCTCCGTGCTCCCTCCTCCAGTCTTAGCCCCCAGCATCCTGTATTATGTAAGGGAGCCGGTGTCGGTCCTGTTGCATGTGTGTAGATACAGGGAAATGAACTGAACCAAAGACATGCCCCCCCCCCCCTTTCCTTTTTTGTTAAAGCAAAGGTGGGGGGCATAGTGATGTTACATGTGCCCTGGAATCCACCCCTCCAGCCCTGTTCCCCCAATTCCCTTGACAGCAGAGTTTATTGAGGAAAATGGTCCCATTATATAAGAAGGATGCAGCCATTCATCAGCTCAGCACATGAGTGACAAAGGCTTGGGTCAGCACTTATGCAAGAATTTTGCTCAGTTCGGCTCAGAGAATAAACCAGGGATTGCGAGTTTATCAACAGACCCAGCAGGCAAACCAGAGTTTCAGTGCTGATTATTATGGGAGAGTAATCTTCAGTGCATTTTTTGTGAATAGACATAAGGCTTCATTCATGTTAAAAAAAAAAAAAAAAAAACATCCACATGTGTGAATGAAAGCCAGCTTTGTGTGTGTGTGTTTCAACTGAGGCAGGGTCTCCACTTTATCCTTGTGAATGTGCCTTCCCTTACTGCTTTGTGTGAGTGTGGGCGGAGAGAAGGAGAACACTGCTGTTCATGTGATGAACACGCTCTGTGACACGTGCCTGAGCCAGGGATGTTGGGTTTAAAAGAAAAAAAAAAAGGGGGGGGGGGGGGGGCAGAGAAAATTCCTCTGCATCTTCCTCATCTCAACCCCCCACCTCACTTCATTTCACCCAGCTCCCCATATAGCAAGTGGGTCTGTTTATAGCTACAGTATATTCCTCTGAGTATGTTGGCTTCAGTTTTATTTGTTTCACAATTCTGCATCACTTGAAAATTAATGTATTGGGGTTTCAATAACTGAGGCTCATAGAAGAGCAGTTAAACATCTGATCCTTTCTTTGTATATTATCTGTATTTTGGATCCATTTGCGACTAAATTCTGACAG